GTCTCTCTTCTTCAAAGCCTTAAGAAAGATGGGCAGAAGAAGCCGATTTCCTCGAAACGTCAGCCGATAAATTTCTTATCAGCCTTGGAGGCTAAGTCGAAAAACAAGGAAAACGACATTAATAATGCATCGTCTAATGTAACTGGAGCATCTGGGAAGTAATATCTCCACTAACTAAGAAGGGCCCACGCTCACATTACTAACGTCGGATCTGAGCTAACTTTTTGTATTTAGCCCCTGAGGAAACGAAAAGGTCGGAGAAGGTACAGCTGACACAGAAAAGTTTGCAACTAGCAACTTTGTCCGACAGTGGGGGTTATGGGGTTATCATAAATTGCGACTTCCTAACGCTTGCCGATTATCAAACAGGAAATATTATAAGTAATCTATTTTTATTCCTTTGATCCGGTCTTTGCCGTATTGTAGATTTCTGAACGCTGGATACTTATGTAGCCGAAAGGGTAAACATATAGTTTTACGGATATTTTTGTATAGACAAATATAGATTTCTCTGACGCTGATATCGTATCGTTTGTATCTTGAGAGGGCGACATGAATTTGTTATCGAGAAAGGCATTAATTTTCTTCAATTTGCCAAATTGTCCACACATCCCACACCACTAATCCGTCGGGCGCTACGCGCGTCTGCTATTTTATCAATGAATGAAATCGAGCCGTTACACAAGAAGCACTTAATGCTTCCTGTTGTTCTGTTGGTACTGGAGTAAACAGAAATTGGTGTTACTATACTGTTTACAATCTCGAATGCTTCCTGATTGGTCATCGGTAACTGTAAAATTCTCATAAATCAAATGGGAAGGACTAGCTGATTCATTTGAACATCGGTCCGATATGGCAGGATTTTCAATTTACTGGCGATAAATACAGCCATCTAGTATTACCACTGAAAAAGTAACAGTTCAGACCGAATGGTCCTGCTTGCATACTATCTGCTTCCTTTAATTTTTGGTTTTTAAGCTCGCTATTTGCTTTTGGATTCATGTCCTTATCAGTTGCGAAGGAGCAGTCGGCAGTATAAAAGCAAAGGAAGAAGTAGATGAATAGTAATTAATATTGATATCTTTCGTTATTTATGAGGAACATAGTCCTTAGACCTAAGTACAATTGGAAGGGGCGAGGTTTACGACCAGTCGGAACAATAAAAGCAGTAGGCACGATTAGGCGGATGTGCCTTTGATTCGAACAATTGGTAGTGATGGGGTAGTCACCGGTTCAAAAAGACGATTCCTGACGTTTTGGCGGTAAGAAGTGTTCTGATTGGGGCGTAATAAGGCTCAAGATTAGGTAAGCCTGAGGTTGCCCCGCCCCTTTGCGTTTGCACCGCCCCCTAATGAACTGTTTGTGGCGTAGCAGGTAATACTTCCACTCACTCGCCTCTTTTCCTTCTCAACTATCATATGGACTGATTCTTGAATGTCTGCTTTTTTATCTGTAATTGGTCATAGAAAAAAGCTAAGAAGTATCCGGCTGGAACCATAGTTGTGCTCACTGAACCTCACACCCTCTTTTCTTAACATATCCTTTTTTAGAAATGAAGTTGCCGACGTCATTGACACCCGAGAAACGGCTTATGGATCAGTCGACGTCCACGGCAGATCTTAGCGACGTCATGTCATGTCGCCAAGGGCGGGGCGATGAAGCCAATGCCTATAAAAGGGAACAAAGTGATAAATCTACCGTTACTACGCCGTTAATGGACGACAAAGAACAGTCTACAATAAAGGAAATGCAAGATCAAGCTACATCCACATCTGTTTCACCTCCACCTGCGGTAGTTTTGGAAGACGCTCCTGAAACCGAAAGCTCAATTCCGGACTTTAAAGAACAGTGAGTTATCCGTGTTTTTCATGCATTTTTCTTTTTTTTTTGCCGTATTCACAAAATTCCGAATGTGATTCCTTAGAACAAATGATTGTTTATTCTGTTTGTCGCGGGTCGTAGAAGTCTTAAGCCTGAAGCTGTTCCTAGCGAAAAAACCCTCGCAAGATTTTATGGAAAATTTTTCTGATGTTCCCCTAATTTTCCGAAAAAATCCTATTTTTTAGTGTGAGGTCTAGATGTTTCTGACGCCTCTTTAGCTATAGACCTGAACGAAGCCCTGGCGATAATTCCTGGGTGGAGTTCAATGCTGAAAAAGCGTCATTGACTCTATCGAAGGGTGTCACCAGTTGGCAGTTGGATATAAGTCCCTGGGGATTCAGTTTTTTTAGCAGATAGAAGAAAAAGTCGTCTCGAAACGTTGAAAAACGACCTTCCCGTCACTTTTACTGCACTTAGAGGAAACGAACGACAATTTCGTTTGAGTCGAGGCTCTCCTAGAAGAAAGGCATCCATTTGTCCTTCCCCTTTCCTGAATGATCTCAACTTTTTAGCAGTGTTGATATCTCCAGTGTTTTTTATACCTCATAAATTAACACCAGTGAATTTAAAGCCGCTCTCCTCCCTCTCAAGGGCTGTTGTCCGTATCTCGTGTTGCACCTTCGAGCTCCTCTGGTCTTTCGACTTTTTTTTTGTTTCTAGACGAGTAACTCGTAAAAAATCGAGGGATTTGAAATCCTAGTGGAGTGAACGAGGGAAGATCCATTTTGCTGCCCATCTTTGGTATGGGAATAATCCTTGAGGCAGCTTCTCATCCTTCTCAGAGGGCGAATTATAGAGATAACAAAAATGTTTGATGAAGTCAGAGTCAATCTGAGAATAAGAATGTCAGAGCTGGAAGCTCTGAGGTTGTTCGGGAGCTTCTAAGGAGCTTTTAGAATAACACTGAGTCTGAATTACTGGGGGTTTTTTTAAGCGTAATTGGGATGAAATATGTGAGCCCGGGAAGCACTGGAATTTCCCGGAGAGCAACAGAACTAATGGGACCTATTTTCTGTTTGAAATATGTCTTTCCCCATGCTCCTTTAGCGAAAAACGCCTCTCCGGAATTACCTGTATCACCTGTCGTCCCGATGATCATCGATTGCTCGGCCGGCTTTACTCAGTGCTGGAATCCCCAAAAAAATTTAGTTCTGACTGGAAATAGAAGGTTGTTCCATCGTTGGCCAGAAGTCACTTTCGGAAAGAAGTGAGAAAACTAGGAGAGCCTTTCATTCGCAAATCACAAAGGTTTTCCAGTGGAATGTGGGTTTTTTCCCCTAATTACATGGTATGGGTATTGGTCATAGCAGCGTAGGATAAAGTCCCTGCAAGGCTTCGTAAATATTCACGGCCATATATAACATAGGCGTTTTTAAATTCCCTGATATCATTGGAATCGATGAAGCGAACGGTTTTTGCTGTCCCCCGTCACATGCCATACGTTCATTGTGTAAAAGCCGAGCTCATTCGTTATATAGTTTACTTTACAGACTATCCGACATNCCATCGTTGGCCAGAAGTCACTTTCGGAAAGAAGTGAGAAAACTAGGAGAGACTTTCATTCGCAAATCACAAGGGTTTTCCAGTGGAATGTGGGTTTTTTCCCCTAATTACATGGTATGGGTATTGGTCATAGCAGCGTAGGATAGTCCCTGCAAGGTCTCGTAAATATTCACGGCCATGTATAACCAACCACACAAGCGTTTTTAAATTCCCTGATATCATTGGAATCGATGAAGCGAACGGTTTTTGCTGTCCCCCGTCACATGCCATACGTTCATTGTGTAAAAGCCGAGCTCATTCGTTATATAGTTTACTTTACAGACTATCCGACATCGATACGTCATCATTGGAAGATCTATTGGCAATGGACACTCGCCCGAACTCGTCCAATCGTAAATCGGTATCGTTCAGTGACTTTGTGAGTTCTACAGTCGGCTAGTTCTGAGCTCACGACGTCATTTGAACGTTTTTTTTTGCAGATCGATGTCGAAATCGTCTCACCCGAACCGCAAAAGAAAAGCCCATCACCCGAATTCCGTAACTTTACGGTGAAGCCGATTCTTAAGAAGGATCTCAAGCAAACTGAAAGGTGATTTCAAGTGATTAATATTCTTAAATAGCAAGAAAACTTTAAAAAGCTGAAAAAGTCTGTATTTTCAAGTGTTAGAAGAACTGCTCCCTTTTCCTCAATGATCACCGAAAATCGGAGTTGTCGAGCAATTTTTCTGGAGTGCGCCATGCATTCAGATTCCTTCCAGGATCATTCTAGTTGTTGAGGGCGGGTGCATCCTACAAAGGTCGAATTGATTGGCGTCTCTCTTGAAATTCGTTTTGATTTGATTTTCGAAATTTGTTTTAGTACATGGCCCACTCCAAAAAAAACTTGAAGGTGATAGTGATGGAATGGGACTAACTGGTCAGGGTGGAATTTGATTGTAGAGCTATTTATACAAGTGGTAGTGATAAACGAGGTCTCAGTGGGCCTTTTCCAGATTAGAACGACCTCTACAAAAAATAAATAGTTGAATGAGTAAAAGAGTAAAATACCCTTGAAGCTCAAAACCGGCTTGTTCAACACCACAATCATATTTTCCCAGCTTCTTTGCATACCTTTGACATTAGGTAGTATCAAGTGGTGCACTATGACAAGCATGGTTAGGGAACGAACAACGAATTCCTACCTGTCCATGCCAGCCAACCCGTCATTCCCTTCGGGTGGACCAAATAGTGAGGATGAAAGAAACGTGTTGTGCATCGGCTGGCCACGAGTCAGTCAAACGCTACGATCTATGAATGGAAGTCGAATGCGGGGGCGCATCCCAGGGGTGAAATATAACAATCCAAAGACTATCCATTATTCTTCGAACCCTGAAAATGAGGGTTTCTATGAGGTAATTTCTCATGTCTCAGTGCTTGTTAGTTTAGTTTCGTTGCCTTTGCGATGGCTCCCTGACAAGTGCATTCAATTATCCGATTGGGGATCTCTTCAGCAGCTAACAATAGTTGAGCCCGCGTTAGGCTTAGGCACGTGGCGGCAGGGTCAATCATGGGATTGATAAGGGGAATAGCTTTTTTAATATGAAGTTTTCTATGATGGGATCAGTTGCTTCGCAACCATGACGTAAAGCTAAGATAAATCTGGTAGCACTTTCGATCGTATCTATTCCCTTTGCATGACGCACGAAGCCGTTTGGGGATTGTTTTTGGGATTTCCTTCTCAAAATTCTAATCATAACATGATTTTGAAGTGGCATAGAGAATAATCTCTTCAAACAGAGCTTATCGTCAAGGAGGCCCATGTCGGCTTCCTTCACTGTTAAATCGGGCACAGATCTTGTTCGCAGATATGTGGGAGGGATTTTATTTTGCAGCGATATGTTGATGAAGTGAAGGTCTGCAGGGCTCCAGTGGCGATGAGTTTGCTCGGGTAAATTGAGCGACGATTGGAGATCATGTTTGAGCCATGCATAAGCGCTGCATGAATAAACCGCAGAGTCGATTGATTAGGAAATATGAAAGTGATTTTCGGATCGTCTCTACGAAGTAATATGGTCTAATTATGTTAAATATTAATTATAACTTCAGTATGCGACGACTACTGGATTATGCTGCCGAGCGACTTTACAAAGACCTTCTGATGCTTGTAGAAGAACGTGATCGATCGATACACGCCCTTGAACTTACTCCTGAAGAAGATGATCATGCCCTGTCAACACAGACCTGCATTTTTCAAAAGGTGATTTTTGAGTAATTTTTGCGATGGCTAGGAGAAAACTTATTGGGTAGAACTCATTCATTTGAGTATTTGCTTCATCTGATGTGCTGAAAATCTGGATAACCTGGAATTATGCCTTTTCATCTATATTTGTTATTCTTTTTTATATATTTCCGCTAATTTCAGAGGTATCGTGACAGACTCTTGGAAAACAAGCTCACCCTCGACAAACGAATTGATCAGGTAAGAATTCACGATTTTGTAACAAAAATCTTTCATGTGAGTAGCAATAGAAACACTGTACGTGTGGGCGGGATTTGTGAACTGCTCATCGGGCTCAAAAGCCACGCCCACACGCTTAGAATCTTCTACGAATTCCCTGACGTGTCATGCACTTTCTTTTCATTGTGTACGGTATAACCATAGCGGACGTGTATCAGATATAACGTTAACACCATCACTGGTGAAAACTAGTAACTTATGACCCTACTGACAAGTATTAGGACAGCAGTGACGACTACTCTTCTGTCAGCTTCACTAATCCATCCCTGTAATTGAGCACACCATTAGTTTGCTCACAAACGGGACGCTGGTCAAGTTCCCATTCCTGACAGTTCCCGAAAGTGCAAGTTAGCCGTGTGCGTGGCGTATTCAAAAGATTGTGCATCACTTCATTCTATTGTATGAATTTTGACTTTCTGGCACGAAGTCTTGAAGAAAATCATATTTTATACGCCTTACAATACTTATGTAACTTTTAGGTATGGCAGAAGCTGAAAGATATGGCAGTTGACGGCCAAATTGGACAATTCGTCTACGGTGTACGACATAGCTCAGAGTTAACGTTGAATGTAAAACGACGAGTGAACTTGCGAAGAGAATCATTACCGGTCAGATTTTCTGAGATTTTTTGAGATTTCCTTTTTTGGTGGGCTTGAAATTAGAGGGTCCAGCTTACAATTAGTTCCCGGTCCCGATTGTATAGGAGACCTTGAAGTTTTCTTACTAACTATCAAAGGGAAAGTGGATTCTGTGTATATGTCTATGTTCTATAAGATCCTCACAATAAAGCTTATTCGGCTCTCCTAAATATGAATTACGGCATGGGCAAGTTTGTCGTTGTAGTGATCGGAAACCGGAAAATGGACTTCTCATTGTTTGACCTAGCATTCCACAAGTCTCGGAGCTTGTTTTTGTTGAATATCAGGATGAACTAAGTGAAATAGATGTGTTTATCATCCTGGAATTAACTTTTTAATATTTCTCATCTGAGCGCTGAAGATTCTCAGAACTCGCCCCACTTTCCAAACGGCTCGTTGGTAGGATATCACGGGAGAAGTCCGGACCTGACGTCTCTTGAAGCGAAAGGCTTGATCCCAGAAACCGAGACCACCGCTTTGGAAATGTTTCGTCTTCTAACAAACCATTGCACTGGCCGAAGAAGCTTCACAAGGTGCCATACTCGTAGGGTAGAATAAAAGTATTGACTTGTACATCGGCTGCCGCCGAAGTTCATTGTTCAAGCTTCCTACTCATTCAAATGCTACTAAAATTCCGAATTGTAATCGAATGCGGGGCACATCCCAAAACGAGATTGGTCACCTCTAACAGACTTCAAGACTTTATGTATTTTGCTGTTTCCTTACTAAATAGTTCACTTTTCAGTTACCGAGGAAGACCCGCAGCGATATCGAAATGGTGTGCGATCTATCGCGACGACTATCACTCGTACGTGAACAGCTCAAGCAGAAGGACTCATTGGAGGAGTCAAGCCTTTCAATGGAGAACATGCTATCAGCAGTATCACGTATTATCAATGGAAGTAATGGCAAAGCCACCTGTTAGAAGGGGATGGATCTTCCCCAGACGTCAGATCGCCTTTTGATCGAATTTCAATTGCTCTCCTATGTACTGTCGATAATATCTCCTGTGGAGTGTATGATTTGAGGAGACGGAAAAGAAAAAAANAAAAAAACAGCTCAGAACTGCGCAGACGCTGCACGTTTTTCACCCGAACACCGCCCGTTTTTTTAACGTCTGCAGATTTAATCACAAACATGTTGTCCTTCATAATTCCTTATCGGAATTTGTTATGAATTTTCCTTTTTTTTATGAATCGTAATCGAATTGACAGAGGATCATCATAGTTGTAGAGTTTATCTGACACTTTGACGTATTGTTTTCTGATATTTTGGATGTTTGCTTTATTTTTAGACTTGTGGCCGACCTTGGAACTAGTTTTCTTCACAACTTTCATGTACTTTTCTGATTCATGAGCGCTCAATTTGATATTTTTAGCCGAAAGACTCGGCGGTCACCGCCCTTTCCCCCAAAAATAACTACGATCTCGTAACTTAGTAGTTTATACCTGCTCTACTTATTCATTTATTCGTGTAGTCTGTGATTTTGCTACCAATTGGGTCATCTGACATGTGAAAAATTTGATCGTTTGAGCGGGTTTACTCCAAGACAGTTTTATAACACTCGTCGAATAAAGCCTTATTTTTTATCTTTATTCCGCTTTGTACATTAAAACACGAAAATAGTCTAGCTGGCGGCCGCTGGTGCCGACTGCTGTAGTGCGGCATCAACGGCTGGTGCAGAATCACCCTCGACTTTTTCAGGCTCAGCGGCGGCTGTAGGAGCCTCGGCTGGAACGGGTGCAGACTCCGTAGCTGGAGCTTCAGGAACTGCAGGTTCGGGAGCATGGTGAGTTTCTTCGTGATGTTCAGCTGATTCTTGTGCAGCTGGCGCGGGTTCAGCGTGTTGTTCATCATGTGCGTGTGGGACTGGAGCGGATTCAGCGTGAGCTTCGGCATCGGGAGCGGATTCAGCGTGGGTTTCGGCGGGGGCATCATGAGGAGTTTCAGCCTGTGGGGCGGATTCAGGAACAGCCTCTGTTTGAGCTACGGTTTGCTTTTCAACATGCTCTTCTTGTGGAGCTTCGGCAGCTGGAGCGGCCTCTGTGTGAGCTTCAGCTGGCGCAGCTTCAGCATGGGATTCTGGAGCGGCCTGGGTTTGAGGTTCGGCATGAGCTTCCTGTAAGGCTTCCGCTGCTGGTGCCGGAGCAGCTTCGGCATGGGATTCTGGGGCGGCCTCGGCATGAGTTTCAGCGTGAGCTTCCGGTGAGGCCTCGGCTGCTGGTGCTGGGGCAGCTTCGGCATGGGCTTCTGGGGCGGCTTCGGCATGAGTTTCGGTGTGAGCTTCCTGTGAGGCCTCGGCTGCTGGTGCTGGGGCAGCTTCGGCATGAGTTTCGGCGTGAGCTTCCTGTGATGCCTCTGCTGCTGGAGTTGGAGTAGCTTCAGCATGGGATTCTGGGACGGCTTCGGCTTGAGGTTCGGCGTGAGCTTGCGCTTCTTGTGCTGGGGCAGATTCTCCCGATGAAGGAGCTTCGGCATGGGATTCTGGGGTGGTCTCGGCTTGTGCTTCGGTATGGGCTTCCTGAGAGGCTTCTGCTGCTGGTGCTGGAGCGGATTCGGCATGGGATTCTGGGGCGGCCTCGGCTTGAGGTTCGGATTGAGGTTCGGTTGCTTGTGCTGGGGCAGATTCTCCTATTGAAGTAGCTTCGGCATGGGGTTCTGGGGCGGTCTCTGCTTGGGCTTCAGGGTGAGCTTCTTGTGGAGCCTCTGCTACTGGAGGTTGAGCAGATTCCCCTGAAGGGGCAGCTTCGGCATGGGATTCTTGGGCAACCTCGGCGTGAGCTTCAGATGCTGCTTCTACAGCTGGAGCAGCTTCTTCTTTGGGGGCTTCTGGGACAGATTCGGACAGTTGAGCTTCAGCATGCGTTTCAGCTGCCGGTGCTTCGGCAGCCGGTGCTGATTCGTCTGAAGTAGCGCAAGTTGGAGTTACTTCCTCTTTGTGGCACTCTGGCTCAACAGAGGGAGCTTCTGTGTGGGAATCTTGGGATTCTGCGTGAGCTTCAGCATGGGTTTCTGCAGCCGGCGCGGCTTCCTCTTTGGCAGCAGCTTCTGGAGTGGCCTCTGGCGCTGGGGCTTGAGCAGCAGCTTCAGCTGCCTCTTGTTGGTCATGCTGGCCTACATCGGGAGCAGTCGTTGTCGGTGCAGATTCCTCCTTGTGACATTCAGGTTCAGCGGCGGTGGCGGGCTCTGCAAAAAGAGTAATGCATTCAAATCATAATGGTTCAAAAAGTGAATGGTTGGTTGGTAAGGGAATGTTAAATATGTTTCGCCACTGCAGTCTTAAGCGTTGCATACAGTATGACCTCAAACATGATCTAATACATCCTAATAACTGGTTAACTATACTATGTTGAGGAGGGAGAGGAGAAAAACTGATTTGAAGAACCACTCAGACAAAGCACAAACACGTTTTTCACCTTCTCTCCGTACACGAAAATGAATTCGGGGCCGACCTAGTGGCCTGCACAGCACCACCTCGCCTTCTTCTTCGCTGTCTATACAACCTTGTGTAAACAGGGAACTTCGGAACTTCCCCGATTAAAGCCTACTCCAATAAATTGTAACTCTGACAAAAAGGAAAACTACTCACCAGATGCGTGTTCAGTAGGAGCAGATGGTTCAGTATGGGTCTCCGTAGCTGAAGTTGTAGTAACTTCCGACGGGGCAGATTCAGCGGCAGCAGCTTCAGCATGGGTTTCAGTAGAGGGAGCTTCAGCATGGGATTCCGAAGCGGGAGCTTGAGCAGCGTGATCACCATCGGCTACGGGAGCTTCGGCTGGAGCAGATTCGTGAGCAGATTCGGGAGCGGGAGCAGGAATGGCATTGGGAACGGATTCAGTTGTAGCTTTCGGTGCTTCTTCAGCTGGGGCTGCAGTGGGAGCATTGTCGGCCGCTTGGTCTGCCATTGTCGACGGGTTATGCGGGTGATTCGGCTCGATCGGAAGGCGTGGTTCAAATGCGTGGGCGTGTCCGGCCACCACATGACGCACCTATTCGGAACGCCTTCCACGTGGCCACGCCTCATCGAAATGGTCTGCTCGGTTTTGTTCGCTCAAACAGGGGAGAGATTTTTGAGTCTACCTCATAGCATTTAGGATCCTGGGAAAGCGTACGGAGACAGACGTGCAGATGGAATGACATATGCTTTCAATGATCTCAGAGTAGGGAGTAGTTTTGTCCGACAGTCCGGGATTGTTACCTAGAACAGTGAAAGAGCTTCCGGAACGTCTCGAATCTTCATACAAAGTTTTTTGGCTGGAGAGAAAATGACGTCATAACCCTGTTCAGGAAGTTTTGCGAGCGCATGGAAGTTAGTGGTTGAAGCAGTCATACCGCGATTGCAATGAAGACATGGCGAAAACTTCCCTGAGCCGTCTACTTGAAATAATTCTCCAAAATAAAAGTACTGATTGGAAGGATGCCGATTCTGCATAAGACTGTAGATTTTAATGAAGGTAGGGTCCTTTTTAGGTCTTCCATCGAGGTCTTCTGAATATGCCTATCGATAGTCCATAAGCGAGNATGATGTCTACTGCGTCAAAGCGAAGAATCTCTGTTCCAGGCTGTGAGTCAGCTTCCACTTTTTTTATTAGTAATTATTCATTGCGGACTAAATTCTTCCATCAAGAAGACGAAATCGAGTGACGCGAAGTCGGTAGAGGGGGTGTGTGAAGATGGGAGTGTTTTACCTCATCGGTAGAGGGGAAGAATTTCAGTTCTGAAGAAATACGTAGGTAAAAAAGAAGGCTAGGGAGGAGGAGAAAGTGAAAACTAATAGTTATAGCGAAAAATCAGGAAAATGAGGGTCCACTCTAGTCCCATGCTTATCGTTGGAAGTCGTTCTACAGTCCGCCACTTGTCATGAGGAAACACCCACGAGTCAGGCATGAAATTTGGGATGACAGCGACGTATTAGTCGGGAAAATTCATAGGAATTTTTCAGAAAACATCATGTCATCTCTGAGAGCTCCTCAGATTTGCTCCATTGTCCTCAGAGGCCCATTTTCCCAATTACCCTCGCCCTGACTATAGGTTAGCCCAATTTTTTTCCTGCCCTCTCCCTTTTCTGCTTTGACGTATGTACGTAATAAGCAATTCATCAGTATTCACATAGTCTTCCACTGTCTTTCGAACGGTATTTGAAACAATACGATTCGCCATTCAGACAGTGATCCAGTCATCTTTCGGCCGTCCTTTTCAAACCCACTATTATTCATTCAAATGGAATTCCATTGCGGATTTTCATTGCAAATGCCCTGATTACAGGTTTCATTCCCTGGGATACGCATTCGTTATGTATTCGTTCCTCAGTGCCCATGAAATCCATGAAAATACAGCTGCAGAATTTTCCTTCCTCCACCCCGATTCGCGCCTACACATTTCTACTAAAAACCGCCCGAACAGTTGTGTGACGTTCGGACATTTCGTAATCGGGCGTCATACAACGATCATCTCGGGAATCCATTCATTCGGGGCTCTCGAAAAAGCTCTTTTTATCCCATTTTCGCTGTTTTTTCCAAGTTCAGTATGTGGGCATTGACAACGCTCATAATATTATCGATATCGATTTTTGACGACTATACTTTTCTGTAAAATTAGATTCGACGAGTTGGACGTTTCTGAATCCTCTATCTGCCGTTGTCCTTGGACATGACCTATCGGGCATACTCGGATATGAGGACGAGTTCGAGAGAAGAAGTTTGGAAAAAATCTGGATTGGTTGATTGCTCTTGGGCTCCTTTTAGGAAGTTTTTAGAAGCGGCTTTTGTTTTTGAAATGTTTTTCCTTTGGACCAATGTGGTTGAAAATTTTGCTCGGGATGCGCCGTGCCTTCAATGCTCGTTCAGAAGTGCAGGATCTTTTGGATAAAGTAACGTCCTGTTCTTATGGCACCTTGGCCTACCTTAAGGTCCGTTTAACTTCATTCAAAAACTTCGATACCAAACAACCATTCAACACTCACATGGGAAGGAGTTCTTGGCGAAGAGTTTCGGACCTCTGAAACTCAATGTGGCCCATAGTCTGTCCCAGTAACTATCATCTTCGACCTTGGAGCTCTAATGGACCTGCAGCTGTTCGAAGTTACAGCAGTAATTTCATGACANCTGTCCCATTAACTATCATCTTCGACCTTCGAGCTCTAATGGACCTGCAGCTGTTCGAAGTTACAGCAGTAATTTCATGACATTTTTTATCGAGAACCGCGCGTCTAGGTAATAACTAGTATAAATCAGCTGATGCTTATACTGATGCTTTTTCTCCTTTCTCAGACGACTCCCATATGACAGCTGTATGTATCGATGGGATTTCGTCAAGAAAATGTCGTTTAGTTTTTCTCGGTAGTCGTTCAGGCACGGCTATGGACTGGAAGAATTGGGTGTCAGCCTATGTGTATATAGCCGAGTGATATAGGCTAAAGTGAATTTCCGATTCGTTTTCTTCTCGAATAGGCCTCTGTTAAGGGTTTATGAGAAAGTTCCTGAATGGTACGGTACTTGACGGCTTGTGCAAAGTTTGAGGAATCTCCACCAAGCATGTCGGGTGAAGAGGAGCACTTCCTACTCTACAAAAATCGGGATTGCATAAAATCCTAATTTTTATCTTTATTCACAGATCAGAAAGCTGCTCCAAATGTGATTTCTTTGTGGCTGTACGATCTATTAAAATTTTTTCAAACGCCATTTATCAATCCAAACACAGCTAAATCTGTTTCAGTACGAATTTATCTATCAGGGCCATAACTCCAATTGAAACTTGTTTGACTGTTCTATAGTTAAACGATTCACTTGAAAAAAGATCTAATCAGGCGCAATATAGTCTGATGGTATGGTTTATTGCTGATCACCCATAATCTTCTAAGCTTACAATAGATTAAAATTGTGTATATTGATCGAAATTGTTGGGGAACATCAAGGAGCCGGAAGAATCAGTCTCTTCGAATTTTACCTGGTACCTCCTCAGATTTTGAGCAGTTCCTCTTATTCCACCGTTTTCTCCACACAAAAGGTTTGGGGTTCCTGGTAATGGCCATCTGTGTGATCAAAAGGCTTGATACTCATTGATATCATATAATATTGAGTATAATATTTTTCTACGTGTACTTCAGGCTTCGAGCTGTACTTTAATAAGTTACCATTAGGTTCATAAAATGTATTTCATAATAAATATTATTTTATTAGTAAGAATTCTTGAATTTCAATTGAATTCATTCATTGAACCAATCGAAAATTGAATTTTTCGAAGATCAAAGAGTTGCGAAAATTTAGACTAGTTTAGAGATTCCCAGCGTTTATACTGGATGAGGAATAGGCGGTTGTTTATGACGGCAACGAACAATATGGGTTTAGATCGAAAAAAACAACATCGATCAATGTGAATTTTTTAAGCGTTCACATTTATGCAAGCCGTCGTTCAATCAGGTAATGTGTTGGTCCTATGCAGAATATCCTTGCAACGATCCCCGTTCGATATTGCGTGTTTGCAGAGATGAGTGTGAACCCGTGAAATGACGACCGACGTGTGCAGGTGATTTTCGAACGAGGTGGATCGTCGAACGTTACACCATGAGGATAAGCACTCGAATAACTCAAGAGGCTGTTAGTGAGGCTTTCCGGGATTACTCGGATTACTCAGTTCGCACGTGGTGAGCAATAGATACTTTCTTGAATGAGATTGGAAGTGTCATAGTCCTTGAAGCATTGGAAGATCGTGCCTCAAAGCGATAAAAATAACCTTAGCCATGCAAAATTTGTAACATTTGCTGTCTGACTGACAGCTGGGATCATGAATTGTTTCATCATCNAGATCGAAAGCTAAACAAATGCCTAGCAAATGGGAGGATGACTAAAAGAAATAAAAATCGAAAGCTGAAAAGTTCATCGATCGTCTGCTAGTTATCTAGGCCGGAACACCTGGGCTAGATCTCACTAGGGCTCAAGACAAATTTTTTCCTCATAATGGGGAAGTATCTGGACGTGGAAAGATACGTTGAAAACGTCAGCATAATGACTTTTCAGGGGGAATGCCGTTTCTCACTTAGTAGAGAACCTGCTCCAATGAAGGCAGGAAATTTTCTGATCGATTGAAGTCAATAGCGATTGGTTTCGTTCACCAAGTTCGGGCTAGTTTAAGACCCTAGAAAAACAAAGACTTCTATGGACTACTGTCACTCACTACTGCTTGAAATCAAGTCTCTTATCAAACTCGTAAACCGGCCTCAGGGCCATGCCATTGTTGTAAATTTTGTCGATGAGAACTAGGCACCCAGTCTATGAAAAATAATACATTTGTTCATAGGAAGCTATGAGTTTTTACCGGTGTCAAATATTGACGCCAAAATTGGTGTCGAAATCAAGCTTTGTAGAAAGAGCCCTCTGAAAAAGGTTGGATTGGTAATAGTTACCAACTCAGCCAGTCATGTTAAGTTTCCAGGCAAAAATGGGACGTAAAAAGTTAGATGTGCACCTTTTTATAGCAGTTTCTTCCCTTTCACTCCCGTTTTTGAAGGGCCAAGCTTTTCAGGTTCCTTGAAATCTTCATTATTCCAGGTGAAACGTTAATAGAATAAAAGCTATCAGAAATAAAATTGTTAGAAAAAATGGCAATAATAAAAATCATTTTATCTCGGTTATGATCCAGTTTTAAATGAAATCAAAATTCTACGGAGCCATGAACGTGGTTTTCTTTGGCCATAGTATTAATGAAATGCTAAAAAATTTCTTACAATATGATCATTTCCGATCCTCCAGATATAATATGTGCATTCTTTTGGGAAGTATAGGGGGCAGAAATTTCCAGATTAATTTTTTTTATAAAATTCACATTTGTCTCGCTTCTAATATCCCAAAAATGACAAGTTTTGAATTATTTCCAAGTTCTTGTTCAAAATTCTTCAGCAATCACTGAT